ATAAGCCTGAAAAAATGAACGATCGTTTTAGAACCGACGTTCTTTGATTTCACTTTTTTTTTAACGCGTGTCATAACATCCATGAAACTGATATCAAATTGACACCACATTAAGATAAAAACTAAACAAAAAAAGAAACGAAATCGAATGAAAAGTGAATGAATAAAAGAAAATAAAGAGATTTCTATTCACGAGCACTCAGATATCCATATATTTTTTTTTCCTTTGCGCACGGACCCGGACCTCCTGCTCTGTAAGCTATCACTCGATCTCCATCAAAACTGCAAACAGGTAAAAGCTGCAACATAAACCGCAAAACGACGATTACGCCAACGGTGCATTTGGACTATTGTGGACTTGGAACTTTCACGCCGTTTTTTGCTCCTTCGGCAATATCATAAGTGATATTATCTCCCCGGCTCAGAAGAACAATGGAAGCCACAGGACGAGCAGCATTCGGCGTGAGTGCTTCACAACACGGGCGAGGCATTCGGTAAACAATGCTGGTAGATCCTTCAACACGGCGAGGGGGAGAAAAAAATCGAGGCAGAAGCAAAACCCTAATACTTTTGAACCTTGCACCATTTCCTGCCAAAGGCTGCAACATCCACGCCATCTTTTGTGCAGAGAGAGAACCACACACTTGCGCCATCTATTGAGTAGCGAGCGAACTAACGCGCAGGTCTGACCGGCCCCCAGCTACCTCGACAGATAGCCCTCCTCGCACACACAATCGATCTATCTCAGGCCTTATTATAATGTCCACAATTCTTCTTGCTGAGTGCAAAATGTCTCGGTTATCTTCTTCCTGTCGTAGGAATAATGTCCCAGGCTCTATCCTTCTTCGTAAACCTGTTTTCCCTCTCACTTTCTCCGTCTCTTTCGCTTACTATCTCTCTCCCTCCCTCTCCCTCTCTCTCTCTCTCTCTCTCTCTCTTCCATCGCTTTCACTTTGTGCGTGTGTTTTTCTCCTTAGCATCAGTTTTACACTCGGACAAAACTGTTTGCATGAGTTTGAGATTGTTATGATGTTTCTCCAGATACACCTGATTGCGAACCTGCTGACGTGCGGTTGCCGAACACAAATACGGCCTAGTAAACAGAGCTATCGACCGCGGACTCATGTGATGAAGTTGTTAACATGATTTCCTTTCGGTCGTGGAAGAGATGTGCGAGTGATGAATGTGGCGCATGAAATTAAGGAAAAAAAAAAAAAAAAAACAGGGGAAGAGATGTGTGAGTGATGAATGTGGCGCATGAAATTAAGGGAAAAAAAAAAAACAACAACTTATCGCCTATGTATCGCAGCAAGTCTCTGGATTGATGATAAGGTTGAGAATGGCGGCACGCGTCATAACTCACCTGGTGTAATGGCCTGGCGAAATATGGTGTCCTCATCCCCTACCCTAACGCGAATATATCTCAAGACGAGAAGATCTAAGCTTGAAAAAAGAAACGTGTGTGTGTGAGAAGTAGAGTTTATGCGAGTTCTGTACTTCCCCCCTCCCCCCTCCTTTTACCACTGTCTTGTACTGTACACACTTATACGTACGTTCGTGTGTATATAAATCTTCCTATTTGCTAGAACGAACTCATTCCGCCAATTGTCGACTCTAATGCAGTCTTTACCTTCACCTCCGTATCATTAGGATCACGTCACCACCCAGCCTGCCATTACTATTCTTCCCGCAAATCTCTCGTACCACAATGCGATTACGTGACTGTATTATCTTCCTGTAGGCAGAGGAGAATATATATACACACAGCAGAAGGACTTGCTTTCAAAGAGAGTATCTTTTAAGGAAAACGAAATAACCATTTCTTCGTCAACGACAGCGGGGGTAAAAAAAAAAAAAAAAAGACTGCAAAACTCTAGGGTATTACCCCGCCCGATTTCACTACCAAGCCTCCCGGAGAAATGCTCGACAAGAAAGAGGAGACAAGAAAGGGGAATGAATAAAGAAACAGCAAAAAAAAGAAAAAAAAAAGAAGAGCAGACAAATCGCAGCATCCCATGAACCTCGTTATGCTGATGGTCCTCCCATGTATGTATCAGGGCACAACATGATGCAGTTTGCGAGTAAATGTTGGAGCAAAATAACCCTCACACACTCAGCTCCAGGCGAGCGAACGCAGCAAGGACATAATACCTTGTGTTTTCATATGTGCTTCGGAAGATATATATAAAAAAAATTGTAAAATCTCTACGCCTCGAACAATATCTGAATAACATTTTTTTGATGGATTTAGCCTAAGCCATCGCTCAGAAGGAAATAACAAAGTTATTTTGATAAAACTCTACTAGATTCTAGTCTGTAATATCCTTCGGAAAAATAATACTAACCTTGGGATTTATGGAGGAGCTATAATCAATGCCATGGAATACAATACATCAATTTCGATGACATAATAACCGCAAGAAATAAACGTAGAGAGAGAGATAGATAGACAGAGGGGAGAGTGGGAGAGTGGGAGAGTGGAGAAGAGGGAGAGAGGGAGA